TTCAAACTGCTGACCTGGTGCTGAGCAGCCCAGGTGTAATCCACTACGCCACTCGGGCTCTTCCTTTGGAAACATTCCAACTAGAGACATCCATAATGTATGCATCCCTTACCATTTCAGTCTGCCGCTTCCAGTTTTCATCACCTTAAACGATGCTACAGTAAACATGTCAGTCCACGGAATCCTATATGCTAGTGCTTTTATTTTATAGGCTTAGAGTCCCCCCAAAAGTAACATGACTAAGTCAAAAGATTTCAGTTTTCCGTTTGTCCATCGATGGTTCTTCCTGGCTGGACGGTAGCAGTTCACACCCACCAGCAGGATCTGGGGCCGCTCCCCTGCGTCCTCGCCAACACTGACTAGCACCACTCTTCCTGCTTTTGCTAATCGGAGTGTGGAGGAGTAGCTCCTTAGGGCTTTCGTTCCCCTAAATGTAAACCAGGGATTCCACGGTCGTTTTTCCTGGAAATAGAAGAAACTGGGAGGGTGGGAGGGATCGGTGATAGTGTTAGCTTCCAGTCAACCCGACTCCTAGTGGTCCCATTTACGGCATGATTGTGGTAGGAATTTCTTTTATAAGGATTAATGCCAAACTAGTCTCAAGAAACTGGAGATTGAGAAAGTCCCCAAGGCCCACCTCTTACAAGATGCTAGTCTGCTCCATCTTCCCCTCCTCCCTTGATTCTGGGAGTCACTGCAGTGTCGCACAGAACTCATGAAAGTTCCAGGAAATGTCTCGCTTGATGGTGGGTTCAGTTCAGTCTGAAGGTCAGGCAGGGGTCAGCCAGATGCTGGGGCCAGAGGATGTGCTCCACTCCTGGCTTTCACCAGCAATGAGCTCATCCCCCGCCCCTTCTCAGTGGACTCATTTTATACACAGCAGGATGGTATTGCAGGGAATCCTGTTCACAGTTAGTCACAGGTGAATCCTATCTGTATCTTCCCCACCTTCTTACCAGACCCATGCAAGGAAAGGTCGTTTTGCAGGAGTTAGGCACATGGTGCAGTTAGGTTTCATTAAATGTGACCATCCGTTCTCAGCCTCTGGACTGGGTTTTATTTATGCATGTATAACCTGGGGCCTCTGGCAAGTTGTTTCCAGTGGGCATTGGCCTGCTACTAATCTTAATCAGCCAGGCTATTTCCCAGACCACTCCAGAAACACTTTTCTTTCTCCTCTGAGCTGCAGTGCATCATTTCTTGCATCCATTGTAAGTAACGGTAACGAAGATAACCATTAAACAAAGCATGTGCTCCGAATCACGCCCGCTCCTAAGGTCAGAACTCAATCTCATCCCGTACCTGCAGGTTAGCAGGTCATGCCCTCCAAAGTGGGCACACAGCCGCAGACATGAAATCTAGCTTCTGTCTCCTCATTTGTGAAGATCACCCTGTGGGTTGGCATCCATTTCCCCATCTCACCTCTACTTTTTTTTATATATATATAATTCTTTCACATCTCGAAAGATATCAAATAAAAGCACACCCTTCCATGACCCAGCCTCATCCACATAACAAAGATAACCCATTCCCACGTGGAATCATAACCATTGGCATTAGACTGGGGCCCCAGTCAATCCTTCTATCCCCATAAGCGGCTACACGCTTGGAAACTCAGGGGCAGTTCGTCCAGGGTCTGTCAGGTTGCTGAGTCAGCATCAGCACAATGGCAACGAGAAGCCAATCCCTGTTATCTTTGTTCCTGACGACCTCTGTCTTTTATTTATTTACTCACTTAAAAAAAAACTCACTCACGTAGAATCAAATGTAACTCATAGTGACCCCATAGGACAGAGTGAAACTGCATTCAGAATCCGAGGCTATAAGTCTTTAGGGAGCAGAAAGCCTCATCTTTCTCCTGCAGTGGGGCAGGTGGGTTAGAACTGCTAACCATGCGGTTATGCTGCCCAAAGCATAATCCATGATGCCACCAGGGGTCCTGTAAATAAGAGCTCTGCTTACAGTGGCTATAAAACTCTTCCGAAATCTCAGATCTCAGACAAGACACCGAATATGACCTGGGCTGCATCAACGTCCCCTGAACTCCACTGAGCACTGGACATTTGGAACCCGGAGGAATTAGATGGGCCCATCTGGCTTCTGTAATCATTGGCATTTTTCTTATCCTAACAGCAGGTTTCGGGAAGGCCTCCCAGCCCCAGGCTTCTCCCATACGGTCACAGTGAGCAGGGTTTCTGAGGGTCACACCTGGAGGTCCTCCAGCCCCTTGCACATCTGTGAAATGGTCTTCGAAGCCACAGTTATCAGCCTGTATCGTGTTTTTTAATGGGAACACATGTTTATCAACACTTCAACCCCCTCACATCAAGCCAGGAGGGACCCTGGCAGTAGACAGGTTCCAAACGGGTGTTCAGCTCAAGGTCAGTGCGCGAAGCCACAAGCTACTCCGTGGGAGAAAGCCTTGTCTCTCTACTCCCGTTGACGGCTCGATGGCAATGAGTTTAGTTTCGGTTTATGCAAACCCAAAACCACACGGACTGCCATCGAGCCCATTCTGCCTCACAGCCACCCCATAGAACAGGGCAGAACTGTCCCTGTGGGTTTCCAAGACTAGAACTCCTTCCCGGAGTAGAAAGCCTCATCTCTCCACCAAGAAGTGGCTGGTGGTTCCAAACTGCTAACCTCACAGCAGCCCAACTGGTAACCATGTCAGAGTTCTTGGCACTTTTCCTACACAGTCAATATGCTGCATAACTTTGCAATACACCAATGAAAATATATCATGACGTCTATGAAGTAAAAATATTTTATCAAATACTTGACAAGAACACTCTAAGGAATCTATCAGGCTGATTAGCATAAAGGGGTTTTTGTAATTATTTTTTTCAATTGTGGCAAAGATACACAACAAAACATTTTACAATTCAACAAGTTCTAATGTGTAATTCAGTGCCATTGATTATACTCTTCATGTTGCACAGCCATAATTGATATTAGTTTGGGTTTTTTTAAACAAGTTTTTATGTATGGTTTTTCTCTCTAGGTTTTTTTTTTTTAACTTTTTGGTGTGCATTGGGTGGTCTGCAGACCAGTTTTCCGTTCAGCAGTGGGCACATTTTGTTTCATGTCACTGATTACAATCCCCAAAAGGTAGCATCACTTATCCCACCTGCCTCCCTGTGCTTCCGGTTTCCCTTGCTCCTTCATTCCGAACCCTTTGAGCACTGTCCCTACACAAGCGCTGCCGTTTAGCGCAACGTGCTCTGTATGCAGAGGCAGATGATCTAAGGGCCAACACCGCAGTGGCTGATGCTGTTACAATGCTGTAATGACTTCCTTTTCCGCTGTGCTCACGTACGAAGCCCTTAATGGGTTCTGAAACTCAGCAAATAAATCCCAGGGACATAATAGTATACCTGCTGAATCAAATTCTTCTATCAACGTATTATTAAAAACCACTTTGAAATGACTATTTCAAACTCAGCACTAACATAAACTGTTCCTCCTAGCCTATTCAGTTACCTGTCTATGTTCACAGCATTCACACGAGAAAAGCACCAATTACCTTGTGTTCTCAAAGAGCAGCAACAGAGGACAACCCCAAGGGAGAGATGGGCCAAGACAGGCATTCCAGACCAGTCCTACTCGACCTTAGTCTAGGTGGAAGCCTGGGCCTCAGGGAATGCAGTGCCTTCACAGAACCCAAAAGCGGGCCACTCAGTCTCCCACACTAGCTCGGGGACAGCAGTTTGCCAAACAAACGTGGCAGGGAAGAGACCCAAGAAGCAACAATTACCCTGGTGTGAAGAATGACAGTCAAGGGCAGGAAGAAATGGCCCTATGTAGGCCCTACACTTTAAGAAAAACACTGGCGTTCAGAACATGGTAGCTTAGATGAAAATAGAAAAGAAGAAACAGAAAGAATCTGTATTTGAAAGTTTTCAGGACGGGGTGGTACATGAGCACATGTAAGTTTCAGGACAGGGTGGTACATGAGCACATGTAAGTTTCAGGACGGGGTAGTACATGAGCACATGTAAGTTTCAGGA